GAGTATACATGATCACTCATTTGCAAATCCCATTAAGGCTTTCTGTGACCATAAACAACAGATGGTTGATTTTGAGATAATCTGTTGTGACCATTGATTTTTACTATCCCGATGCCCTTATTTTTACAATGCTACAGGCAGTCCATTCTTCAGTTATCTTCATGTAAATTTTATAAGGTATAAAATATTGTTTCTTCTTCTTCTTCTTCTTCTTCTTCTTTTCTTCTTCTTCTTCTATTTACTGATTTATTAGCCACACTAGAATGTTTAAATATAAATTCAATAAGTTAGTAAAATGACATTATCGCATAGCCCCATATCATATATATGTTTGTTTACTAATAGATAAAATTCTTATAATGCTTCAAAATGAAACTCTTTTCATAAACCTTAGTTATTTTCACAGCTTCCCATTTTTTGTAGCTCTTATTTGCTTTTTACTATCTTCCCACTACCTGTTCTGCTATACACAAAGTAGGTAGGTTATTTTTTTGTTTCTTAATGTTCTTCTTGTGTCAAATTCGTCAAAGAATCTTTTTCATGTTACATCCTCGAAATTTCCTCTATCTCTTCCTGATTTCAATTACACGCTTCTTTTTGTTGTCTTTTTCTTCAAAACTTCCTCGATGCTCACAAGTGTCCATGTGTGCATAAAATTTATTTGTAAAAAAGACAGGCAAAATACCTTATTTAAAAAAAAATGACGCTTCAATTCTTTTGCATATTTATTAATTTATTTTAAAATGAGTTCGCTAGTTATTTCATATATTGAACGCATGCTAAATTGGGGATTAAAAAAAAGAATTGATTAAAGATCACATTTATAGTAAGAAAGATTTATAAAAGAAGTCGAAAGACATTTAACAGCGGTTAACTAAGCGTGGCTTCAATGCGATATAAGGACAAAAGCAAAGAGCACACAGTGTGAATCGAACTCCAAAGTCAGTCGCAATTGATCACGCGAGACAAAGGGAGGCACAGTGGCGTAATGGATAGCCACTCGGAGTTCGAATTTCAATCGAATCCATTACGTTCGCTTACGTGCTAATGAATACTTTTCTTCTCCCTCCATAACAGGACAGACCGGGTTCTATAGCCTTGGATGACAACTACCGTAGAAATAAATGGCAACCTACTGCAGGAAAAAATCTGCCTCGTCAGTCATGTATCGAAAGATACATGATCGCCTAAGCGTGTATAACTGACTGAGACAAGGTTGATAAACGTTACACCACGTCAGAGAGTCCTCTAATAGTTTATATTAACGGAAAACGATAAAAGTTCATTTTTAAGGTTAACTTAGGATAAAGCAGGATTTTAATTCATAAAATTTCTTTATCTCGATAATATTTTTTAAAAAATGCCTTGACCTTGTAGAGGGTTGATTTTCAAAACCCGTGATCACCACACCTAACATGAATTTGCAATTCTGTAAATTAATGCTAAATGAGAATATATATTTATTACTATTATTATTACTCTTCTGCGTCTACACGCACGCACACACGCACGCATGCATGCACGCACATATAGATATGATCACGGTGAGATAGATAGATAGATAGATAGATAGATAGATAGATAGATACTGGTATGCTCTTTTACACGGATTCCACCTGGAGGAAAACGAGGAAGGCGAACGAATATATGGTGAAGAATTTCACAAGAGGAACCAAAGGTAATAAATTTCGAACAAAATTGAAAAAGGAAAAATGTGTCATCAGTTCCTTTGTACAATCTGTACTTATAATTTGTAAGACAAAATATTAATCTGTTTTCAAAGTACGCATTTGGATCAATAACGATATATACATAAATATTAATATATGAATATTTTAAGTTCCACCAATATCTTCATTATCTCATTTAATACGAAACAGAAAACCAATCAAGTTTATAAAATTAAAAGAACGATGATTTTATTACAAATTGTCTGATATACATATATCCCGCACGTATATATAAACTTAAGGGGTTATATATATATATATATATATATATATATATATATATATATGTGTGTGTGTGTGTGTGTGTGTGTGTGTGTGTGAGTATTTATGTATTTAAGTATGTATGTATATATATATGTATGTATGTATGTATGTATGTATGTATTACACACACAAACACACGCATTTATATAAACACGAAGGTAAGTCGAAAATTATCTGCACTTTCGCCATAGCATAATCAAACTAGACTGCGGATAATTTTGCACACACACACACACACACACACACACACACACACACACACACACACACACACACACACATATATATATATATATAGAGAGAGAGAGAGAAAGAGGAGGGGAGAGGAGACAGGCAGACAGACAGGTAGACAAACAGAGTTACACACAGAGAGAGGGCGGTATTATGTTTAAGTTTCAAAGGTTTTAAAATAATTGTTTTAAGCGAAGGTAATATCAGTTTAAAACGAAGAATAGGACTATCAACCGATGAATATATCTTGTGATATATGAATGGGCATAAAACTTTAAAATTTTCATTTAACTGCAGAACAAACACATCACTTCGATTGTGAACAGAAAAAAGTGACAGAAATCATAGTGAGTTATGTTAGTGTCGGGCTTACTCAGAGGTTAATACAGGAATTCTTCAAAGACGCTCGTAGACACGTCCAGCATAAAAGGAAGACAGACGTCTAATAGTAATTAGTAAGCGTAGTTTAGTTTTAGCACAAACCCATATATAGAGGATACCTTGCTGATCATTACACAGCAATACGCATAGATAGAAGATCATTGTCAACACCACGACACACAACTAACTTTAGCTTCTAAAAGACACCTCATTACAAAAATAATTTGATGAAAATTTTTAGTACATTTGTTATTAGGAAAAATGCCGACATTTGAGTTTGAAAAGATCGAAAGCAAAAAACAGACGATCCCATTATTAAATATATATATGACTATTGAGGAAACGCATAAGAAGGTTGCGTGACATCTAAGTCCGATTTCTATTCTATCCTCTATTACTATACGGATTTTCTGTATTTATACGGATTACTTGGAGCGAGTTTTATTGAGCAAGATAGTGCAAATATTGAAGGCGTCTGACACCAATTGTTCTCTGTTACTATAATTGTAAACAAAGTCTCTACTACAACGAATATTAACGGCCAAAAATGCAAATGTTCGTTGACATCACAGAAACATTCTATACATTTTGATTAGTTTATTTTATATTAACAGATAATCTGAAAATATATACATACACGCATTACACACATACGTATTCTTATAAACATATTCATAAAATTATTTCACAGAGTATAAAAATGAGCACACAGTATCAAGTAAGTTTCACACAAAATCAAGTTCAATTCAAATTGGAATGTATTTTACTATATAATATATGTATACATCTTTCATTTTAAAACTGTATTTTTCTCCCTACTTTATACATATATATATATATATATATATATATATATATATATATATATATATTATGAAATTAACTAAGTCCGATAATTATTTTAATATATTTTCTGTTTATATGTTGTTTTTATAGATACAAATATTGAAGTAAATTCTCTGTTTATAATAAACAGTATATAACAACATTTAACGGCCTGAATGTCCGAGAAATTTTCACAGAAAATATGCGTCCTCCGACAGGAACGAAAATATACGGAACCGTTATAGCCTGACGTGCTTTTACCGATTATGATTTGCAAAGTCAAATTGCTTTTGCTAACCAAACTCTTTCTCTGTAGCTAAATGGTATAAACTGACGTGCTATACCATAAACAGAAAATATATTTTCGCGTATATGTATGTGTATGTGTGTTTGTGTGTGTGAGCGTATGAGCGTGTGAGCGTGTGAGCGTGTGAGGGTGAGATAAAAGTCATGGAATCACAGTATGTAAAGGTAATGCAACATAGTATCACTTTATCTTGATGCCATGCAAAAGTACAGACCAACATTAGTTGTGCTCCGATATCTCGTAAAATTTTGTGATTATGTTAGCGATCTGGTGTAGGGCAGACCCCATAAAACAATGGACCACAGTTGTCAACAAAGCACTAAGAATATTACTGGTGGCTTAATAATGGTGTGATGTTTGTTCACGTGGCATATGTTGGGTCGCCTGTTCTGTCTCAGAGATCAGTTGCAATCATTCATGGCTTCTGAGTACAACAACATCTAGGGATTACTCCAGAATTATATTGTAACGTGTTTTGGGCCTAAGCTGTTCAGAATTGACACGAGGGGAGTTTTGGAGACTTTCGACTAAAAGCGCAACCATGATGTTTACACAGCTATTCTCTTTTTCAAACATGTTTACAAACTCTTTGTAAACTCTACTTACTTTCAGCAACGATGAATTTGAAAGCTGTTTTCCAAACTGCATTCTTTCCTTCCTCTTCACTTTTTTCATCATAATCTTACTTATTATAAAACGCAGATTGTGTGTGTGTGTGTGTGTGTGTATGTGTGTGTGTGTGTGTGTGTGTGTACGTTTATATATTGGATCGGATTTCCGACATTTTTCAACCGTTTTCAACAAAACTTCACAGGACTACGTAAAATTACCTTGCGGTGGTTCTAACAGCGCCAAAAATTGGAAAAACACGATTGTTTTTGCACAAAATCAATTTGAAAACACGATTAAGAGGCATTAATGAAAGGGGGACAACTCATATTGAGTTATACTTATTAATATCGAGTTATTGAGTTATACTTATAAAACCCAGGTTGGTTGTGTGTGTGTGTGTGTGTGTGTATTCGTTTATATATGCGATCGGATTTCCTACATTTTTCAACCGATTTCAACAAAACTTCATTTTTTTTTGGCAAGTAGTGTTTCTTATTGTCTTGCACACTTTTTTCTTTATTTTTACATTCAGAATGCTTTAAAAATTCCATTTACAAGACAATTGTTTATAATAAAATTCTGTTCAATCGGTAGACTCATAACGATTGGAAACAATGTTTTTGTTAGAGTTTGGGTTTGACCAATTCGTAAAAAGAAAAAAAAACTAATTAAGACATGCGTGTCCGTCACCCTTAAACAATAATCTTTGTCAATTTTATTTTTCAGTCTTTATGATGGTCAATACTTGATCTATCTCTTACTGTTACATCCTCGGCCACGCCGGGCTCTACTGCTAGTATTTACTATATCTGCCTCGATTATGTCTTGATACTTTGGCTAGCTTAGTTTTAGAATAGACGAAGTAAATTCCAATTCTTTTATATTCTTATCACCATGTCAACAGTGTATTGTCTTCTGTAGCATTCTCTGCTAGTTTGTACCTTTATTTCAATATCTTTCAAAGTTGCGTACATCAGCTCACTTAGAAGGAATATGATGGATCTTAGTGGGCGATTGATTCTGCTTGAAATCGATGGTAAACAATTTATCTAGCTCATCAGATATTAGTGGCAACAGATGGGCCTATTTGGCCACTCTCTTTCAAATTCAGATTACACACACACACACACACACTAATATATATATTTATATTATGAAATGACAAAGTCCGACAATTATTTTGAGACATTTTTTATATTTATATATCTATAAAAAAAAATGTATAAACATAAAAAAATGTCTTAAAATAATTGTCGAACTTTCATAATGTGTGACGTCATTTGTTTACATTTGGATACGCATCGAGCAGATATGAATGTATGAGAGAAAATCATGGAGAATTGTAGTTTAAAAACAGTAAAATCGACCTCGCTAACCGAAACGCTCATCTGTGGCTCAATCGGTAAAAGCACGTCAGGCTATATGACGGTTCCGTATAGGTTACAGGTTCGATTCATGTCGGAGGACGCATATTTTCTGTGAAAATTTCTCGGACATTCAGGCCGGTAAATGTTGTTATATACTGTTTATTATAAACAGAGCATTTACTTAAATATTTTTTATCTATAAAAAGAACGTATAAACATTCTCTCTATATATATATATACATACATATATTTACAACTTAAGATAGTAGCTCTCCCTAAAAGTATTAAGCATCTGACGAAGGTTGTACAAGCTAAAAACTTTGTGATAAAAATAATTATAGTGCTCAGACATGTCAACTAAATAGAAAGCATAAGAAATATATATATAATTTATTTTCTGCTATTTCCTCAGTCCAGTGTACAGTAAGCTTTACGTCTGTCAAATGTCTATCAACCACGGAGAAAATGACACGCTCAGATCATTCATACGCAAGCAGGCACACACACACACATGCATACACGTGTATGTGTGCGCGCTCACGTGCGTGTGCGTGTGTGCGTATTTATAACCTGTGATAATTCAACCTCATACTTAGTGAAAGAAAACACGAGATAGGAAGATTGTGTTTCGCCAATAAGCTAAAGCTGGAAATATTGTTTTTTATTTGGGTTCTACGAGTTATGATTACTGGCAGCAGATAGAAATATGCTATGCATACAAGCACTTAATCTAGATCAAGAGTGAAAGATGATAAAAAGAAAATTGACTACATACATACATACATACATACATACATACATACATACATAATCAAGGAGTACTGCCCAATTCACAAAACTTTCAACCCAGAACATTTTCATTATCATACAACGTATACCGTCACACGGACATTATTATTAAAAGTGAAATTATCCTATTTTTTTCTTTTTCTTATATTATTTACATTGGCCATCATTTATTTTATCTTATTTATTTATTTTTTATCCAATTCCGCGAGACAGACACACGACCCATCTCATAATCTGTCATAGAAGACACTAAATGCTTCTTCCAACAGAAGGAGGGAGAGGGGTGATGTTTGCTTCCGGTTTTACCCTGTTTGTAGTAAGGTGCCCCTTTGCCATTTCGGGCCAATAGTGTCAGCGTGTGGCGCGCCATATAAATGTCAGAGGGCAAATGGAGGAGGCCGAAGGGCGTTTGGATTTTATGCGAACGAATAAATTCCGAGTAAATATCATAGGTTTATATATATATATATATATATATATATATATGTGTGTGTGTGTGTGTGTGTGTGTGTGTGTGTGTGTGTGCACCTGTATCTGTGTATAAATAAGTATTGTTCAAAATTTGCAATATCTATTGGCGAAGACGTCTCAATATCGGATATATAACGTTTATAGATACGGTCAATGTGGACATAGGAATCGACACTGCATGATGACTGTCAGTCAGAAAATGTGTCACAATTCCTTTAGCGGGATCTATATATAAATCACTGGCGGATTAAGATAATGCATTAACCCTAAATAAAAGGACAGAGTATGGTATGATTCCTATTCCCACCCTCCCATTTTCCTTAATCCCCAGTAATCTATATACAGAGACCACTAGATTAACAGTGAAGGCATGGAACTGGTGGTACTGATTCCTGTATTTATATATACGCATTTATTGTTTTCTCTGTATGTATGTTTAAGCATCTGTACAAAAATGAATATGCATGGAACTTAACAGATTCCGTTATGTCGCTTAAATAGAAATTAGTTATTACAGATTTAATGTGTACAACTTACTAAGAAATCAAACTTTATTTTATGTTTTCTTAATTCTTGTTATTTTATTGTTCTCTCTCCTTAGAAATATTTTATTTTTCTCATATTCTTTCACACTCAGTATCCCCCTTGCGTCTTAGTGGCTTTATTGTCTTGCTTGAGGTGAAATGATTAAAAAAAGTAAATTCAGCGTACTCAGCCAACTTCAGATAGATCTTGTGGCAATGACAGAAGCACCTCCACATATCTTGGCCTTTTGTTAGTATATATGTATCGAGATTCTGTCCATTGCTTGCCTGTCGTGTTGTTTACTGAACATGGTATTTCCTAGCGGTCGCCCTTCTGACTATTGACCAGTTTCAACGTTCCTTAACTTCGATGAACATACGTGTTTCAACGAGATATGACCGTAAACTATGGTAAATACTATTAATAGATTAATTAATGATGCATTAATTCGCAGTAAACAGACTTCATGATTTATTAAGTAATTTTGTATGTCACCACAAACCATACACTTTCTTTTCCTACAACAAATTTAAACCTTAAAGTGAAGACAATAAGGATAAAATAGAATATATATATATATATGTATATATATATATATATATATAGAGAGAGAGAGAGAGAGAGAGAGGGGGCAGACAGACAGATACAAAGAAAGAAAGAAAGAAAGAAAGAAAGAAAGAAAGAAAGAAAGAAAGAAAGAAAGAAAATGGCTCCTTCACTAACACATTACTTGGTGTTATATCAACACGAAGTCTTGTCTTTCAAAACAGACATTTAAAAGTAATCAAAATATCCGACGATGGTCACAGAGCATCCTTTGTTCCAGTTCTTAATTTGCAAAACCAGCAAATTTTCAGGCGTTATGTATTTCTGGTGTTTAACTCATTTTATTTACTTATATATATTTTTCGTCTTCTGAAATCTCCACACGCCGCTCTTCTCTACAATGTGTTATTTGTTGCTCAGTTTTAGATAAGGATGAACAAAAAAGAGGGAAAATTAATAGAGTTAGAGTTAACAGAAGAAGAAGAAGAAGAAGAAGAAGAAGAAGAAGAAGAAGCGTGTGTATTTAGTTACCTTTCACATATTAAAACAGCATTATCTACGCATGCGTAGTTGGCGCGTCGACTGACGAGGGCTACGCGTGACCTTTTGACCACTTTGCAAATGAAACAGAGTGCTAAACTACCCACTCATCTGCATTTTTCTCGTCTTAACTCGTTTGAGATCTCGTCAGAATTTCACGGCGGAAACGTCTACTATTTATCTCTTTTAGAGGTTTTATAGTAACAATGGGTTGTTTATAGTAAAGAAACTGGTAATGTTATGAAATCTCTTTTAAAGGAAACCTTCGTTTTTTGCCGTTCATAAAGTATATTAAATTCTTTGACATATTATTTCATATGAATTACTAAATTAATTTTAAAAAAATCAAATGCAGAGGGTCCTTTTTCTGTGTGCCAAGGATATTTAAAATATGTATTGTTATCAAGCAGAATTTAATTTTAATCATTTCATTCCAACCATATCTATAACGGAAGAAATCTACGGAAGAAAGATTTATTCACTCACTAGCAGTAGACCCCGGCGTTGCCCGGATATGTAACAGTAAGAGATAGATCAAGTATCGACCATCATAAAGACTAAAAAATAAAATTGACAAAGATTATTGTTTAAGGTTGACGGACACGCATGTCTTAATTAGTTTTTTTTTTTTACGAATTGGTCAAACCCAAAACTCAAACAAAAAACATTGTTTTCAATCGTTATGAGTCTACCGATTGAATAGAATTTTATTATAAACAATTGTCTTGTAAATGGAATTTTTAAAGCATTCTGAATGTAAAAATAAAGAAAAAAGTCTGCTAGACAATAAAAAACACTACCTGCCAAAAAAAAGTGAAGTTTTGTTGAAATCGGCTGAAAAATGTAGGAAATCCGATCCCATATATAGACGAACAGACGCACACACAAACAACCTGGGTTTTATAATAAGTATAACTCGATATGAGTTGTCCCCCTTTCATTCTGGCGACAGTGATGCCTCTTAATCGTGTTTTCAAATTGATTTCGTGCAAAACAATTGTGTTTTTCCAATTTGTGGCGCTGTCAGAACCACCGCAAGGTGATTTTACGTAGTCCTGTGAAGTTTCGTTGAAATTGGTTGAAAAATGTAGGAAATCTGATTCAATATATAAACGAACACACACACACACACACACACACACACACACACACACACACAACCTGGGTTTTATAATAAGTATGATTTGCATTTCCCGTTATAGACACTATTATATCCATTATAACTCCTATTTAAGGAAGGATTTTATTCTGAGAGGGACTGTTATACTACTAAAACGTAAACAAAACTATATATATATATATATGTGTGTGTGTGTGTGTGTGTGTGTGTGTGTGTGTGAGAGTAAATATATGGATATAGATCCGACAATATGAAGAAAAATATATGGAAAAACAAAAATCCAAATATGCAAATATGCAAATATGCTGTTTTAATGTCTTACTCTTATGTCTATCGTCTTTTCATGTTGACTTGAATATCGTCTAATGTTAATTATGTTTTAATAACTATGTCCTGAAGAAGGTCTACTAGACCGAAACGTCTGACGTCGACATTGAAATAACATTAAACAGCATATTTTTTATTCGGATTTTTTTGTTTTTCCATCTATTTTTTTCATATATATATATATATATATATATATATATATATATATATACGTGTCCAAACGCGGAGAACGATATATCATATCTACTGAACGAAGAGAGTGTGAGGTGGAACAAAAAGGAAGGGTCTTACTTAATATGGAGATACTTCTGTGTCTGGAGAAGCCATGTTTAGGACTTCAGATTGAAAAGGGCTGGATTCATCTACTATGTTACAGGCGAGGACATATTCCACGAACGGGAAATGGCAAATCTTGGGTTCTCCCAAATTCAGTACTGCAAGCTGGAGTTTCTTTCTATATCTGGGAAAGAAATATTCTCAAAGGAAAACGGCAGCATGTAAGCTGCTGGGGTGGTAGATTTAGCCTCTGCCCTGACCCACTTGGCCAAGTCTAAAAGAAGCAACTGTTCGGTTTGGCTGCTGTAAATTGACTGAAATTGACTGACCATTCTCGTCACCGTATTAAGTGAAAACACTAAGCGGACGTCAAGTGATACATGTGACTTATCTCTTCCAAAGGGAGGCAATCGCCTTCTGCATCTTCCCTACAAATCTATGATCATTCCACATCGTTTGAAGTGGACTCGGCATTTGCTAAAAATGGAATAATCTATTGTATAATCCCTATAATGTAAAAATGTTAGTAAAAATGAAATAATCTGTGGTATAATCCCTAATCCGATATTGTCTGGTGAGCTTATCGAAAGAAAGAGACTTGACTACAAAGCAAAAATGATGTTTCAAGAGTGTGTAAATGACTCTGGATAAAGTGAGACTCTTTGCAAACCAATGGAAAGACTTATCATTGTATAGGCATTCTTGGGACGATACGGTTTATGATAGCAGGAAGGAATTCGAAACTGCGCGCAGAGAGCAAGGACATATTAAGAAAAGACTATAGATAGTATTCAAAAACTAACATGTAATCAGTGCAGTTGAATTTACCTGACAAAATCAGATCTAATATATCATCAAAGATGTCACTATCACGCCATACATATATACTTACCTGGCACAGGGCTCCGTCCCTGTACTGGTGGTATCACGGCTATGACTAGGTTAGACCAGCTCTGACCAGCTTGGACAAGCTATGACCAGCTAAGACCAGCGGCCCGAGTGAAAACACTCGGGTCCCCACGTTAAAAACCGACTTTGTGTCACAACCTGACCTGGGGGTCAAGTAAATACACTTACGGATCACAGGGCTCCGTCCCTGTCTTGATGGTATCACGGCTATGACTAGCTTGGACCGGCTCTGACCAGTTTGGACCATCTATGACAAACCAAGACCAGCTATGACTAGCTTAGACAAGCTTGAACAAGCTATGACCAGCTAAGACCAACTTAGATCAGCGGCCCGAGTGAAAACACTCAGGTCTCCACGTTAAAAACTGACCTTGTGTCAAAACATGACTCAGTGGGAGAGGGGGGGTCAAGTAAATATCCATATCGATGATGTAAGTGGTGAATGCAGCAAAGAGTTTAAAAAGGTTGACGGATTGGAGCGTCACTAACAAGCCCAGTGTTATTTTGTCCGTCTTGGCGAAGGCGAGTGTAATTCCTTATGTTGGCTTTAATGCTACATTTGTTAAGCGCTCTTGTGAAACTTTGGAATTATATCTTTTCAAACGATGACTTTATTTGGAAACGCGAAAGCATCCAAATGTCATTCATAAATGATATTAAAAAAATATTTTATTATAGAATAAATATGCTTACATAATTTTCTTCCAGACCACCTTTTCTTTCATTAGCAATATACAAATGTCCATTTAAAAGTAATACCTGTTTTAATTTAATTTTAAATGTATTAGTCAGAATTCTTGTTATTTTATTTTTAGATATAAATAAATAAAATATTTCTAGAAGCCTAGGGGAACATTTGTGCGTATATTTTATCTTTTCTTATTCATAATCCTCTTAAAAATTGTATCCTCTCTTGGTACACGCAGAAAGCGAATAGTTGTCTTTGATTTTGGAAGGAGAAAATGATGAAAATATTCACATGAGTTTAAAGAATGTTTTATAGGAAATCTTGCAAGCATAGTAACAATATGGGTCCGTAGACTTCAGGTCAATCATGTAGAGAAAGAAGAAACTGAGTTTAATGACAGGCTTTACAGTGGCAGGCCATCTGCCCTTGTGAATAAAGATGAGGGCAAACAGATTGCTATCTTAAACTCTGCCAGGAGACATAATACTACAGAACTCTTTGAAAGGTATGTTACGCCGAGCAGTTTACTCCAGCCTCTTGGTTACTCAAAGATTTGTGCAAAATGAGTCTTCAAAATGCTGCTCAAGTGCTCTTGAGAGTGTTCAAAGAGGGTAATCGCAAGAACACAGGAATTTCCACAATGACAATCAATGACGTCATTCAAAGTTGAACTGCCACGACTGAGAAGGAAAACGAACTCTACTGATGACTGGATTTGGAATCCTAAAATTTCTGTGTAAATCGTATAATATGCTTTGTGTAATTCTACTATGAAACGTTTTCTAAAGGTGCGTAAGACAAGACGTGTCTTCTCACCAGACATTCAATCTTTACAATGAGGCAATTCTGAGCGAACTAGAGATCATACCAAGATTCATTATTGACGGTCACAATCATAACAACATAAGGATATGCAGGTAAAACTGTATTTTTATCATTTCGCCCCAAGAAAGGTGATAATGTCCCTAAGACGCAAGGGATTACATGGTGTGAAAGAGAATGAGAAGATTTTAGTTAGGAGAAATGAGGAAAGAACAATAAAGAAACACGATTCCAGAAGATAGAAGATGGCGATTGATGTTCCCTTTAAATTTTTCTATGTGGCAAGATAGCAAGTATTCAGAGGGAGTTCCTCCGTTGAGAAAATAAACTATTATAATATAATTTAGGGTTGTATCTAGATATTTCAACAGTAAAACAGTGAGACCTAATTACCAATCTAGTAGGACGCTTAAATTCATATAGTAGAGTCACTAGAGGAAAATGCTCATTAGAACAGTTACGATAAAAATATTTATAGAAAAGACGGAGTGAAGCCACATCACGTCTGTGAAAAAGTGGTTAAATTCGAGATTTATGATGGAATTGCAGATACAAAAAGAAAACTGCTGGAATTCCTGGGTAGGTAGTAAATGAAAGCGGGGAAAAAGTCATCAAATTGTAAGAAAACAGAATATATGGTTGTAAGCAAAAGGGACTTCTCAAGTTGCAATCTACAAATCGGGGATGCCAAAATTAACCAAAGTATGAAAGTTTAAATATCTGGAAGAGTTTTAACAGAGGACAGAAAAGGAGACAACTGTAATTCGAATGTGCATTGGGATAGTAAAAGATACCCCACAGAACGAAGAAATGAATTAAAAAGAAAAAAAAAGAAAAATGTCATTAGAAAGAAAGAAATAGTTCTAAAATGTTGTTTATATCAGTCCTCGATATTCGATGTAACAGAAATGTGATTTTACAGAAGGATGCTAAGAATACCATGGATGAACATATAAGTAACGAGGAAGTTTTAAGAAAAAAAATGAAACAAGCACGTTTAGAGTTAGAATCAGAAAGAGATAATTTAAGTTTCTAGGACGCATAATGAGAAAAGAATGATTGGAGAATTTGACACTCACAGCACATAGTTAAAGTAAAAGAAGCAAAGGGAAACAGCGAGTAATCTACCTTGTGTAAATGATTGACAAAGATGAGATATGTAGTGAAAGTGAGAAACAAAACTTACTGTAAAGCATAGAAAGTTATTTACAACTTGTACGTTTATTTGTGCGCAAATACAATTGAGAAACGTATAAATTTATATCCTCCCCAGTTATGGGTTAAATAGTAAAAATCGTATCTGGAAAATTATTGTCATTCTCAAAAAATTGTTAAAGCAATATTCCTTGGCAAAAAAAGATTCTAGCAATCCAGAGCATCGTACATTGAGCCCTGGTGATAATAAAACAGTGTTTGATGTATAATTTCAGATCTTTAAACAAGTTATACTAATAATACATTTTTTTTTCTCGCGGTAGTTGAGTTTGATGCACGATGCAATCGTCAGGCATAGATTGAGAAATTCAGAGCTCTACTATCGGTGAGGAACAAAATGTATATTTATTATTAGTACTATGTATATATGATATAATGGAATATGCATAAACCTGTGTTCCCCCTCACTGGAATATGATTGGCTGGTGTCCGTCATAAATACAGACGGACGTGTAAGTACGACAGAGTTTAAGTCTATGACGACGCCCAGTGGACCACGCCATTGGCTATCCTATTGGTCTACACCTATTACCTGCGACTACAACGAGTACCGGTCGATTACTGCTACTGTGTACTGCTTGGTTATAGTAACCAAAACCACTTAGCTACTTCGATCAAATATATCCTTTTCCGGGACATATCAATATATATATATATATATGTGTGTGTGTGTGTGTGTGTGTGTGTGTGTGTGTGTGTGTGTGTGTGTGTGTGTGTGTGTGTGTGTGTGTTTAGGCAGCAAATTATCTTTTAGACATGTCTATTTGAATAAATTACAGACATTATGTCTGCTAATTTTTAATAAAATCCTTTGATACTCACGAATAACCTTCCGTGTATTGATGTTAAAGGACGAGAGAAATATGCTATAGCTGTTTAAACTTCTTTTATTTTCATTTCCCAAGTACTTTCGATCTTTTTCCAAGATCATCTTAAAGGCTGCTAGTAGTACAAAACTATATGTTGTTCATTAGTATAAGTATTTATACAAAGTAGTACGTTCTTATCCATTACCCTAATTTTTCATTATGCTTTTAAATGCAAAACTTTTGACA